TATATATGTGTGTGTGTGTGTGTGTGTATACATACATACATACATATATATATATATGCATTTGCATGAATAATATACTAAATCACCTAATATTCTTACCGCAGAGCACAGAAGGCAGCATACATGACCTCAATCGGCTGAGACTACCCAGGTAGAAACACACAACTACATCACATACTCATACATATACGTATGAGAACTCATATGACTCATATGTGTGTATGTGTTATGTGTGTTTATAAACACAAACCCTACACCCACCTCATTCTTGAGCCGCTGTGACCCGAGGGCCGCATACATCACCTCAATGGGCTCTTCCATTGGGGCAGAGAGAGGATTGAACGTCTGCTGAAGAATTACATCGTCAATGATGTTGCACTCAGTGGCTGTACACAGTTCATACTCAAAAGTCTCGGACCAAAGTTCTTCTTCGGCGCCATCTTTGTCTGTGGGTGGGGAGTACGTGAGTGTGCGTTTGAATGTGATGTGGTTGTATGAATGGAGACGTTTATATAACTATCAAATACGCCCAAAAATGGCATGACAATAGAATATTAACAGACAAACAGCTGCACACCATACATTTCTCAAACACACTTCGAATATACTCCGAAACACGTCGATGGCTGTACATTCCTCACCTTCATCACTATTGCTCTCATCCCCTGTTGTCTGTCTACGAGACCCCTTCGTCCCGGTATTCGACCCGGAATTCTCCACCCGTTTAGCACCCAGCAAACACTTGGCGGTACCCAGACCGTTCTTGAGCGAATTTGGGAATTTATCGAAGTGAAGTGCGCACTCGCGCAGCAGCGCCATGTAGCCATCTACACCCCCCACACAGTCCAAAACAGACCATGCATCATCCACTATTGTCTGTAGGCATATGAGTACGTGCATGTGAATGTGAACGTGAACGTGAACGTGAACGTGAACGTGAACGTGAACGTGAACGTGAACGTGAACGTGAACGTGAACGTAAACGTACACGTGACCGTGAACGTGAGTATACACACACACACACACACACACACACATAATATATATATATATG